AGCGCAGAGCGTAGTAAGGGGTAGATATGTTATAGTTTTATAATATAGATAGAAAACAGACAAACAATTATTCTTCTGCAATAACAAAATTTCAAAGCAATAGAGTGATACAGATGAAACAACACTTGCGTGAAGGAGTTTTTGGAAAACAATTTGTGTCACCGCATTTAAAAGTAGCACTTTTGAATCGTTTCATGCGAATTAAAAAGTCTCCCTATCGTTCTTATGGCGTTATGTTGATGGCTCATATGCTGGACTCGCTCGCCAAACATCTTGTAACAAGGCAAGTTAATTCATAAGTAATTCGTAAGTTTATTTTCCAGAACAAATTCTCCACAGTCCTACTACACAGAGTTAGAAATTCACTCCTAGATTATTTATAGTTTCTCTGCAGTCTAGTAAAATTAAGCGACTTCGTAGTTTTGTAGTAAGAATTCGGCAGGCGAAATTTTGCAGCAGTATTACGACTGCTTGAGGATGAACATACATGGTTCTAAGTTTGATTAAACAACATCCAAAATATGGGACAAAAAAACATCCACAACAATCCAGGAAAAACACCTTAATTAAGCAAAATTTGCAGTACGAACTTTTCGGTTTTGTTATCACCTTTGTATATATGTCAATTCATCCTAGGTTTCAAAGCTATTAGGTACAGTCTGTCTACGCTGAAGTAATAGTCAGTGCAATACAATAGAAGAGAAATTAGAGAGATTTCCTTAACCGACGAAATTGAGAAGATGATAAGGGTTTAAGTCCATAGTCATTTCTGAAAATCTCATTTTTTCGACTGTTTATCTGTGCTTCATCAACATTTATAAAGGTACTACAGAAGAATTTAGAAGCCTTGAATTGAAATAAGGCTAGAAGTGCCCTATTAGAAGTTACAGATCAGTTAGCAATGACTTTTTCTCAGAATTTCGAAGACAATGATTAAAGATCTGCAAGTATAATACTTAAACTCTAGAACTAGTAGCATTCCGCAAAAAAAGAGACCTTTTGAAGTTTGGGAAGTCCTTTCCTCATCTTGGACCCACTGCAACCTCCTTTTCTTCTCCTTCTTCTTTTTTAGCCACTTTTCAAAAAGACGAAAGCCAAAGCAGGAAATTAACATTCGACGTTAGAAGAAGGGCCTCGTCTAGCAGGCGGCAAGCATGCAGATGCAGACGATGGAGGAAACGTGCATAAACACAATAACAAAGACTACTAATATCCAGATTTACTGTACAACTGAAGCACAACTGACGTACAACTGCAGCAGATTGTGTGAGTGGTGGAGGAGATTTTTGCTGTCACGACAAAAACGCACGCAGCCAGCTCCGACATCCATCATGCGCATGTTTTCAGGTGGTGCCGATGCACAGGAAGAGCCATTATAGATACGTGGTGCACGGATTTGCAAGGATTGTGCGAACGGCTTAATGAGGTGCAGGCTGGACGATGTGTCACCCATATTGATAGGAAAAACTAGTGCGAGAGCATTAACATTGCTTAATTGCGTGAACAATTGGATATCAGCGCGAACGTATTCCATGCAGTGGAAGTGCTTGGTAAAAACTTACAGTAACCATAGGGAAAACCTCCAAGGGAGTATGCGGAGAGAGTAACACGGAACTAAGCTGGGTGTGAATCAGATTAATTCGTACCGCTTAATTTTTTAACCTTGCTTAGGAAAAATGCTCCAAGACTAAATTAATTCCGATTA